AAAAAAAAAAGTATTTTGTCCTTCTGTATCCACTATTCTTGAAGAATTTGTAGGAGGCATTAATTTCCCAAGCTATAACCTAAGCAGGGTAGGAAACCAGATACTAACAGTAACAATGTTCTACTTCTGCAGAATTCTATCCATCTCTTGATATTGACGTGGACTTAGAGAAGCCTTCAGGATGAAATTAAGATGCTGAATATTGTAAGTGATATTTACCTGACAGTGTCATCTTTTAGTTTTCTGGCTGCTTGTTTGGATAATTTAATCTGCAAGTCCAATCTCTGTAGAAAGTCTTTGGCAGATAGTTCTTCTGGTGCAACAGGCTGATTGTCAGGCTCTTGAGGGCTGGGAGAAGAACTACTGTCATCTTCTATTGTGGTGAGTCCTTCATCACAAGAAGGGGAGCTCTCAACAGTTTCATTTTCAGGAGACTCCAATGAATTAAGTCCATTGAACAGTAAAGGTTTCTCTGATATAACAGGTATATTCAGGGTTTTCCTCAGAAATATACAGTCGTTAGTGAACAGTTTATTTGCCCGTTTTATTTGTTCCATCTGAAAAAGACAGGAAAATATAAGTTAATAGGTTTTAGCACAGTATAAAACGCCACCTTTCTGAACCACCATGGTTAATTCCAGTTGCTATGAAAAAATCACACTTAGCAGCTGCAAAGACTGTCTTAAGGTTCCTCTTCTCAATTACAAACTATAAACTAGTGCTGAAATAATTTCTATAAGACTTTTATACGGTTTTGTTATAGCCTGAGCTGATACTGCTAAGAAAAGTCGTAACTGAGTAGAAAGAAAGAAAGATGACAAATCCTTTGGTGACTGCAACAAGCATTGATCCTTAATCACTACAGTATTGTAATGATAAATGCACTCTAAATAAAACCTGCTTGAAAACAAGTGTGAAGAGAATTCAAAATACCTCTTGCCTTGGGGGAATACTGTTCACTTCTATTAAACCAAATGGAGATGAACTGAATAAGAACAGTACTGTTAAGCATTTGTGATAATAGCAGCCTTATATTAGTATAATTGTCTAGAACACTGATGGCTCTAAGCACTAATCAGCTGCTATTTCAGACTTTAAAATATCTTGAGTTTGGTTCTTGGACCATGAACATTTTCTAAGACTGATAAGCATAAGGTGGTAGAGCACTCTTGAACTCTGTTCTACCACTGCTTGGAATCCCTCTGCAAAAGAGAACTTCAGACAAGAACAAGGTTAACATGTTTGTGTCCTTTATATTGAAGCTACTAGCAGATGAACTGCTTAACTGAAGGAAAGCAGGGGAAGGAAGTTTTCCTGCTCTGGTATGTCCTACTGCTACTGCAAGCTTGAGGAACTGCAAAAGGTGAAAGGTGTCCTTGAATTAACTTTAAACACGGCCCACTCTGGCCAGAGA